TATCTTAACAGTTCTGCCACTCGGCAAAGCCACAAGTCATTTAAGAAGAAGAAGAATTTTTATCTTTAATAATATTTTCGTAACATAAGAATCGTTCACTGCCTCTTAATGATTTCAGTTTCTTATTAATTGAATCTATAATTGTCCCGGTCATGAAAAAAAATACGCAAAGTATTTATTCTCCAACAAATTAAAAATGAAAATATTTCAAAAGGCTCGCACTGTCAGCACTTTTCATTCAATTCCCTCTTACTTCTCCTTTTTTCATCTTGAGTCATTCTTCGCGTTTATAGCTTGTTCGTGTCCTAACGAATGCAACCAACTTGTGGCATTAGTATTTCTTTGAATTTTATCGAGATATATGCTGTAAGCGAACTATAGACACCTGGCATGCAAAAGCAGTGTCTTGAATTCTAGCATCTATAAGGGTGAAAGGATCCTCAAGGATAAAGAAGGTAAGAGAAACGATGTGAGAGAGAGGGAGATGTGTCAAAGCGTTGCCTTCAAAGCAAGAATGCCGAAAGCGTTCCAACGTTCCGTTCTGCTCAGGAGTAATCGTATGTTACCCGTCATATCTCGGAAGCCCTAAGGAGCCACTACGAATACGATATCGTGAATGTATATTTTCCAATAACGAGAAAGATGCTCTCCCCGGTTCAAGAACTCTGAAATTTAATACCCTTGCGAAAGAGTCAAATATATGGTATATAGTACACCATTCCTTAAATTTTCCATTGAAAGGATTCTCCAATACATTAAAACTACTTTCAAAAGTGCGAGAGTACATTTCATCATTAAAAAGTAGAATAAAAATTCAGACGAGCATAAAAAATTAAACAATTTAAACAAAATTTATGGGATTTTAAATAAATCACACGTAATAGCTCAAGATTTTCTAAGCTCATCTAAAATTCTTAGTGGAATATTTTTTAGCTTCCTCTGAAAATTTAGGGAAAGTTTTCACTAGAAAAGATTCCATCTGAAGCTGTTACTGAAATATCGATGCCACAGTAAATCGTGAGGTATTAAAAAGTGTTGCAGATTAAATTAACACCAAAAAAAAATTAACATAATCAATTTTGGTGTTATTTTTTACAGTGAATGAAATGAATGAAATTTTAGTTCATTAAATTTTTTTATAACTATAAAACATGATGATATCGATAACTCCGAGTCTTCGACTCGGAGTCATCGATTTCTTCATATTTTATAATAATTAAAGATGACCACGTAATAAAATCATTATTTTATGTTAGAAGAATATTATACTTCTTCAAAATTATTTTCATTATTTCAATTCAATTATTATTTTCAAAAATTTTTAACTACAATTTTACTTTAAATCTATTATTTTTAATAATTTTCGAAAAAAGTTCTTTGGCAATTTTCAAATCCATAATTGTTTACAATATTCAGTTTTACGAAATTTCAATTATTCCTAAATTCTTTTAATTAAATGCATATAAGAAAATAAAAACTTCAAATAATAGAAAAGAAAATTCAATTAATCTTTTTCAAAAAAATTAATTTCAAAATTCAATTATTTCTAAAAATTCCCGTATATTGCTTTTAATATTCAATTATAATCTAAAATTTTAACTGAAATTCATTTTTATGAAATGAAAATAAATTTTTATTAGAAAATTCTACGAGAATTCAATTATTTATATATGCAAAAATAAATAATTTATTGAATAATTGAATGTTTCTCAAAATTCAATTCTCATAAAGAATTTTATTAACAAATTTCATAAATAATTGAATTTTTTTATTTATATTTAGTTTTTTATATTGTTTATTTTTATTATTTTGTTATTTCATTAAGTTACAAACTGTAAACAATAAAGAATCAATTTTCCGTAACTCCAAATATGTTATTTTATTTTTTAACGATTTATGCCCTTTGAATTTTAAACATGGCCGACCTTGACTGTAAAGACCAACCTGGACTACAAATTTTTTTTTTTTTTTAACTTATAACTTTTTCATTTTAAAACCAATCAATTTACTTTGTACAGAAAAGATGTTCCTATTAAACAGGACTTTCCAACCATATACTTCAATTGACAAATTCATTTTTAAAAAAAAGTTATAAACAATAGGCAAAAAGTGGGCCGACCTTGACTATGTTCCCCTATTTAATTAAAATTTAAAAAATATAAAAAAAAAAAAAAAAAAATTTAATTAAAATTAAAATTTTAACTGAAATTCATTTTTAAATCAATTTTTATTAGAAAATTCTACAAGTATTTAATTATTTAAATGCAAAAGTAAATAATTCATTGAATAATTCAATGTTTCTCAAAATTCAATTCTGATAAAGAATTTTATTAACAAATTTTTAAATAATTGTATTCTTTTGTCGAATTTTATTAAAACTTGCATGAACATATCACAGAAAAAACTCGGACTCATTTTTGTTGCAACTCAAAATGAGTCTATGTTAAATGACATAGAACGTGGCGCCATCTGCAAGGTTCATTTTTAGAATGAATTATGAGCAATTATGAGCTGCAGCTCATAAAGAGTAACTTTTACGACTCATTTTGAGTTCAGTTTTTTTCTGTGTAATTACTTTTTTTAAGGAATTCAATTATAATTGTATGAAAAATAGTTGAAACGCTGCGATGAGTTTTATTATTAGTAAAAAATAAAAATAATTGAATCTTAAGAAGAATTTTATTACTTTTAAAAATAATTGAATTTTTGCAATAATTTGTAACTTCTCTAAAATTAAATTTTTTTCTAGTGTTTTTAACTAAAATTCACCAATAAATCCATTATTTTTAATAATTTTTAAAGAAGTTCTTTGACATTTTTCAAATTCATTCGTTTACAATTCAATTTTACAAAATTTCAATTATTCGGAAATTCTGCAATTAAATATATATATTGCAAAATAAAAACTTGAAATAATTTCAATAAAAATCCTATTAAACTTTTAAGAAGAATTAATTCTACAGAATTGTTTGTCAAAAATATGAAAAATTAAATATTTCAATGATTTTAATTTGAAACTTTTTCAAAATTTAATTATTTCTAAAAATCCACGTTATAATGCTTTTAATATTTAATTATAATCTAAAATTTTAACTGAAATTAATTTTTAAAACCCTTTTTTATTAGTAAATTCTACGAGAATCCAATTATTAAAATACAAAAATAAATAATTTATTAATTTCATGTTTCTTGAAATTAAATTCTCATAAAAAATGTTATCAACAAATTTTTTAATTCATTAAATTCTTTGGACGAATTTTAATAAAATTTTTAAGAATAATTACATTTCTCGAGGAATTGCATTAAAAATAATTGAAATTATGCAATGAGTTTTATTATTTATGAAAATAATTGAATTCCTAAAAGAATTTTATTATTTATAAAAATAATTGAATCCCTGTAAAAAAGTTATTATTTATGAAAATAATTGAATTATTGCAAAGAAATTTATAAAAAAATGTGTAAATAATTGAATTCATGTAAAAAATTTTATTATTTATGAAAATAATTGAATGTTTGCGTAGAATTTTATTCACATTTTTTATAATAATAATTCTTTTGGAAAATTTTATTGAAATAGCAGATATTGAAAATCATTGAATTTTAAAAAACTTTTGAAAATAATTGAAATTTTGACAAGAATTTGATTAAAATTCTGCCATAATGAAAATGAGAGTGAAAATTAAAGTGAAAATAAAATTCTATTAAAGTGAAAATGAGAGTGAAAATAAAAATCTGTCAAAGTGAAAATGAGAGTAAAAATAAAAATCTGTCAAAATAAATAAAATGAAAAGTTTAAAAAATCATTTTTTACACTTTACATTAACATTAAAAATTTTTAAAATCGACTTTCACAGATCTTAGAGAAATAAGAAAATACTTAATTTGGTTAAAGATTGTGGTCTAAAAGTTAATTTGAACCAAATTTTATCTTTTTATCTGACACTGTGGAGCGCAGTAAACGCGGTCACAAAAATATTAATAATAACTTTTGTCCTAATGTAATATACTGACTTTTCTTTTTTTTATAAATACTCGTGATAAAAAAGAAAATCATAATTGACCAGAGAAATACGAAATTAGACGTAGAAGTTTATTTTATTTCTATTTGTTTATAATTGTTGCTATTTTAAACAAATTATGAACAAAATCTAATAAATATTCTTTGTTCGAAAGTATGACTATTGTATATTACTCATACCAAATTTTATTAAAATCCATCAAATAACAAATAGAACGATAGGAAAATTTTTTCAATAATATGATGTGTAAAAATTGTTTAAACAATAACTCTTAAAAAAATTTAAATTTTGCAAAATCAACTTTGGGGTCATATTTTGGTTTCAAAAAACGCTTCGCCTATTATTTATCATTTTCTAAGAAAAAATTGACAGCTGTCAATTTGCATATTCTTTATCATTAATTAAAAAAAAACATAAATGAAAGATTGTAAAAGAAATATACGTGAGAAAGTCGTTAATTAGAATTTTTTTCGTAAATATTTGTGGAATTTGAATAAAGCTGAAACGTGGTAATAATTGTAAAAAAAATTTTTTCAAATATTTTGTATGTGGCTTTATGCAACATGATATGCACACTCTCCTTCTCCAAAGACATCTTCAGAATGCAGTATCTGGGAATCGATTGAGGTTGCGTACCAAAGCCAAGGGGCTCTTTGGAATTTAACGCAAACCTCCATCTAATTAATCTAACTGCACTAATCTGATTGGAGCAAAGTCGTTATCGTTAAAAGGAGAGGGGGAGTTAGGGGGAAGTTTGGAGGGGCCGTTCAAGGTCTACCGTTCTAGATACGATTACAAGATTTATTCCTCGTTTCTATGTATATATGTATACCTATATACATACCATAGTTACTCTACGAAAACATACTTCTTTCTAGCGTAATTGATGCATTAGACGATTTTAATTTAAGTGTCTCATTAAGCTCGAACGAGAGATTTCATTTCATTTAATTTTCTTCTTTTTTTGTATGATTACAGAATATCCTGGAAAAATTCAATCCCGGAGCGAGGCAATTGATCAATGCAGGCAAAGCGTATCTCAAAGCTCTTCATGGTGAGTGAAATAAAAAATTTATCAATTTTATTCAATGATGTTGCTATAAAGTAGAGATCGAAATTTTTTTCAAGGTCGGAATATTCTTAATTGTGCTTTTACTTTTATGTAAGGACGACGACGAACAGTCATTGAAATTCAAAGTACGATTATAGTTGAGTATGCTAACAATGGGAACTTTGACAGAAAGTAAAGTAGCGTTCATCATTTAAGCTGTTAATTTAAAATTTTTTCCTTTTTATTGTGAATCGAAAAAAATAAATGAGATCTAATTTAATTTTCATTGAATGTGTGAATGCTAGAAAACTTAATAAGCTTACTAATAGTTACTTTAAATAGTTAATAAGCGTCAAATATTTGTGTGTTTTACTTCAATATTAATTATAGGAAGAAATTAAGGAATTATAAGAGGAAACAGAAAAGAGTAAAGAGAGAAAATTAACAAGAGTATATTTTTATTAATTAAAACTTATATACAGTATTTAATTTAATTATCAATTTTTTGTGGTGTGTTGACAATGATGGAAATTTGTCTGAGAATTCTAATTTATTATCTGCTCCATGAGAAAATATGTGACAAAATATTATCAGCTTCACTTAATTTTATTAGTTTCTCAACAAAATTAGGACTTTAAATTCCACACGGAGAGAAATTAATTAAAACATATTTTGTTCGTTACTTTTGTTTATTACATTAGAAAAATAATTATTGTCGACAATATATAGAATAAACTTTTTTTTAACTCGTGAAGTCATTGTTTTTATTTGCAACGAATGTAAATCTTGTCTGACGTAATATAAACATTGGCTAAGAGAAATTTATTACAAAAGATAAAATTATTTCTGAAGTAGAAACAATTTATACAATGATTTATGCGAAATTTATAATTATTATAAATTAAATAATTTTCATCTAGTCGTCTCTTTTTTTGAGCTATAAATTTGAAATGATTTATGGAAAAGATTTTAATCAGTTTACTCAGTGTTGTATAAGAGTGTCTATTGTTTGTTATTTTTATACATTTTTTTAAAATTTTTGATTTAAAAATAGTTATTGCATTATGTTTAATTCATTTTATTTATTATTGTCGATAAATAATTGAATCGAGTGAAAAAATTAAATTAAGTAAGAGAAAAATTTTATAAATGAAAAATAATCCATTATGTCGAATTTATAAAAAAAAACGAAATTAGTTATTTTTACAACTTGTGAATTTTATTATATAAAATTTAATGCTCCTAAGGTTTTGAACGTTCGGATTTCATTTTACCTGAGCATTTGTTGTTTACATGTTTCGTGTTTTAAATAACAATTCGATCGGACAAATAAAATATCCCATAATAATTTTAAACAAATAAAAATCAAAACAAGTGAAAATTCTCTTAAAAAAGAAATTTAAAAAATGAAAACACAGTTAAATGTAAATTTAGTTAAATGAAAATTCCATCAATTCGTATATTTTTCGTTCCAATCATACACATCGTTTGGTTAAATTCAAATTTTGTTTACTTACAATTTGTCGAAGAAATAATTCCATCAAATGATAAATTTTACAAAATAAAAATCCAGTCAAAGGGAAATTTCAATTAACTACATAATCAGCAAGTTTTTATAGAAAATTTTCTCATTTTAATGAAATCGCGAATTATACATTAATGTAAACATTAATGTAAATAAAATTATAAAAAATAAGAATTTTTAGAAATGATAATTCGATGATTTGAAGAATATAAAAATATTCTTTCGCATAAATAAAAATTTTATTTTTATCAATTCGAATTCGAATTGATCATATTTCTAAAAATAAACACTATATTTCAGTAATTAACTATATAATAATTTGAATGTTCTTTCATTCATTCATTCATTTTTTCTGTCCCTCACACTATGAAGTTGCCTTTTGTTTATACTTTTGTTTTTTGTTAACTTTAGATACATTGTATATTTTATTATTATGTTATAATTATTTTTATTTTATAATTAATTCAAAATTGTAATGATAAATAGAAATCATCAGAATTTTTTCACTTCTTTTCATTAAAAGATAAAAATTTTGTTAAATATTAGGGTAGAGTGGGGTAAAAAAGCCATTTGAGTTTTATTTAAAAACTATTAAGCCGATTTATCAGCTGTTTAGAATATAAATACTATTAGGTAATACGCAACTTTTGAATCTAGTTTGAATGTTGTACCTAGATTAATATTGTTTTTATTGTAATTTCAATTTTTTGTTGCTTTTTTGAAAACATTTTGGTGAACTTTTCAAACATATTACAGTCTGATTAAGTGAACGAATAATAAAAATAAATGTTTGTACATAAGGAGAAAAGTATACCGAAAACGTATACAATGTTAATTTTTGGAAATTGAACTGAATTAACAATTTATTTTTGCTTTTCTAATAACTGGTCTTGGGTGTAAAAAAGCCAGGGCAAAAAATCCATTGAATATTTTGTGAAATTCACTTGTTTTCTATTTAAACTAACCTTCTTATTTTACCAAATTTCTCGTGTTTATTTAAGAAAATAAATTAAACACGACGAAAAAGTAGTTCAAAGTGCATTAAAAAAATAAACAATGAATAAACGGTTGCAACGAAATATGTTATCTGTGGTGAAACTTAAAGAGAACTTCTAAAAAAGGTACGAAAAATTGGCAGTGCAAATCGAAAACAGGTAAACTCTATATAATTTTCAATTTTGCTTGCTAAAAACTCTTTCATAATTATTAAAATATTTTTCAAATAAGACTATTTGTCATATAAATAAAGGAAAACTATAAAAATACCTAAATTGATAACATGTTTTGCTAAAATCATAGGGTGGCTTTTTCACCCTACCAGGTGGTGCAAAAAAGCCACTTACAGTGCTTCCGTAAAACTCTTATAACTTAGTCCTTTCATGAGATAAAAAATATTTCCGTCAAGAATTTTCAAGCTTAATAACTAAACTTTCAATAACAATTGGAAATTTGAGAAAAAAATTTTAAATACAGATTTTACAGCATCAAAAGTAAAAATGTGGCTTTTTTACCCCACTCTACCCTATGTTTTGTTAAATTGAAATTATGCAGATGTTTGTTCTTTACTTCTAAAGAAAATTAGAAAATTTTTAAACAACTGTGATTAAGAAATAGAAAATTTATTTATTTTGCATTATTTTTGTTTATGAAAATAATAATTGAATTGCAGTCAAATTTTTATTATTTATGAAAATAATTAAATGTTTGCATAAAATTTGATTAAACTTTTTTTTAAATAATTGAATTATTGAAAATTATTAAAATTAGGACATGGATTTTTTTGACATTTATGAAATTAATTGAAATTTGGAGAAGAATTTTGTTATTTATAAAGATAATTGGGATTTTTACAAGAATTTTTTTCAAATTTTGAACATAGTTGAATTTTCTAAGAAGAATTTTATTTTTTCTTCAAATAATTGCATTTCTGCAATTGTTTGAAAATTCCATTATTTTATTTAAAAATTTTTTCGAAAAAATCAATTTTGTTTTTAAATCAGATTTTTTATTCTATAAATATATTTTAATAAAATTTTTTTTAAAAATAATTGCACTTTTCGCGGAATTCATTTAAAATTGCATGAAAAAATAATTGAAATTCTACAATGATTTTTATTATTTATAGAAATAATTGAATTTTTGCATCGATTTTAATTGAAAAAAAATATTAAATTCTTAAGAAAAATGTTATTATTTAGAAAATTAATTGAATTCTTGCCCAAAAAATTGATTAAAATCTTTTAAATCATTCAAATTATGCAAATAATTTTATTATTTTTGAAAATAATTTAATTTCTCAGAAGAATTTTAATATTTAGGAAATTAATTAAATTCTTTCCAAAAAATTGATAAAATCTTTGAAATAATTGAATTCCTCACAAGAATTTTCTTACTTATGAAAATAATAATTGAATTTTTATGAAGAATTTTCTTAACATTTTCAAAAATAATTGAATTTTCCTGAAAAATTTAATTATTTATAAAAATAATTGAAATCCCATGCAAGATTTACTTATTTATAAAAATAATTGAATTCTTTACAAGAATTTTGATTTAAATCTTTGAAATAATTTTAATTTTTTAATTAATTTTTAAATTTCTTTGCAAAGAATTTTATTATTTTTCGAAATACTTGAATTCGTCAGAAGAATTTTATTATTTTTTGAAATATTTGAATTCGTCAGAAGAATTTCATTATTTTTTAAAAATAATTGACTTTTTGCGAAGAATTTTGTTAAAATTTTAAAAAATAATTGAATTCCCCTGAAAAATTGAATTATTATTTATAAAAAAAATTGAATTCTTACAAGAATTTTGATTTAAAATCTTTGAAATAATTGAAATTTTGTAAAGAATTTTATTTTTGAAAATAATTAAATTTCTGCAATTATTTGTAATTTCTTCAAAATTGAAGATTTTCTTTGGTGTTTTCAACATGAATTTAAATTAGAAAATTTTTAAATTCTATTATTTTTAAAATTACTAAATTTAAAAAAGGTAGTAAGAAGTTAGTCGCGTGAATTGTTGCTAGTACTAAATAATATAAATAATTTCGGTAATACAAATATTTGAAAATTGGGTTCTATTTATACGCCTCTATTAAAAGTTAAAAAAGAATTTTATGACCTTTTCGAAAAATTGAGAATTTAAATTCTACGATAATGAGCAGATATCGGTTAAATAAATTTGAATGTGTTTCGTTTAATTTGAAATTGAATATAATCCCCTCTGCATGCATGAGAATTTCCATGAGAGTTGAAATATTATTTTTTTATTAAATTGAAAATCAGATTACACGATATATTCTCATTCAAGAATGAAGAGAATAACTGGATTTATATGAGTTGCTCTATTCAAATTTCAAGCTTCTCCCATTTCCTGATTTTGAGTTCTCGTGAAAATCAGTAATATATATATATATATGTATACAACCAGAAACACACGGGAAATATATTGTATCGGACCGTGCCGGCGAAAG